TTCTCTGCCTGACTTATTTCACTGAGGGTAATACCCTCTGGCTCCATCTGTGTTGTTGCAATTGATAGGATTTGTTTCTCATGGCTGAATAGTATTCCATTGTGTATATGTACCACATCTTCTTTATCCATTCATCTACTGATGGACACTTAGGTTTCTTCCATTTCTTGGCTATTGTAAATAGTGCTGCAATAAATATAGGGGTGCATATGCCTTTTTGAATCTGAGAACTTGTTTTCTTTGGGTAAATTCCTAGGAGTAGAATTCCCAGGTGAAATGGTGTTTCTATTTTTAGTTTTTTTGAGGAACCTCCATATTGCTTTTCACAATTGTTGAACTAGTTTACATTCCCACCAGCAGTGTAGGAGGGTTCTCCTTTCTCCACATTTGTTGTCCCTCTCCAGTATTTGTTGTTCCTAGTCTTTTCTAACTGGTGTGAGGTAACATGTCATTGTGGTTTTAATTTGCATTTTCCTGATAATTAGCAATGTGGAGCATCTTTTCACATGCCTGTTGACCATTTGAATTTCTTCTTTGGAGAAGTATTCATATTTTCTGCCCACTTTTTAACCAGGTTATTTGCTTTTTGAGTGTTGAGGCATATGAGTTCTTTATATATTTTGGGTGTTAACCCTTTGTTGGTTGCAAGTAGGTTTTTGAGGATTTTTAAAATAAAAATTCATGGGAAATCTTTTGTTCTCTTCATTTTTTTATCTTTGTTGTGTTTTGTCACAAGAAATAATGAGTTGTAAAAGTTTTCCCTTATTCCATTTTGTTGAAGAATTTGTGTAGAGCTGATGTTATTTCTTGTTGTGGAAGGATTCTCCATTGCAATCAATGGGGCCTGAACTCTTCTGTTCTGAAATTCTTTTTGTATGAAATCTACTTATTTAAAAGCTAAAAAAAAATTTAGGTATTGTTTTGTCTTGAGTGATTTTTGGTAATTTGTGGCTTTGAGCCATAAACCTAAATATTGGTTTTGCCTAAGTTGTCAAGTTGACATACACAGAATTGTTTGTGGTATTCCCTGATCATCCTTTTACTCTGTGATAACATCTTTTTCTTTCCTCCTAAATTTGGTAGTTTGTATTTTTTTTCAATCAAAGATTTTTCAATTTTATTGATCTTTTCAAAAGGATCAACTTTAGGTTTCATGGACTTTATTGTTTTTGTTTTCATTATCATTGAATCTTGCTCTTATTTCTTGCCTCTGCTTGCTTTGGATTTTCTTCTTGTTTCCTGAGGGTTTAGAGTGTTTATTAATTTGAGATCTTCTTTTCGAATGTAAGCATTTAGTGTTATAAATTTTCCACTCAGCTGCCTTAGCACCAAGGTACAAATCTGGACAAGTTTTTTTTTTCATTCAGTTCAAATTACTTTTTCACTAACTTCCTTTCTGTCCATGTTTTATTTAGAAGTGTATTGTTGAATTTCCAAGTGTTTGAAGATTTTCATTATCTTTTTGTTTGTAGTTTGCTTTCATTATAGTCAGAGGACATTTGCTGAATGATGTTTTAAAATTTATAGTTTATGTTATATGGTCTATCTTACTGATTATTCCATTTGTTCTTGAAATGTATATTCTGCTGTTGCTAAGAGGAGTGCTCTCTAAATGCAGATTATATTTGGCTGGTTGAGGTGCTGTTCTTTTATATTCTTGCTGATTTCCCATTTACTGGTTCCATCAATTTCTGAGAGGGATGTTTAATTTGATAACTATAATGTTTTTAGTTCTCTCAGGTTTGGTTCATGTATGCTGACATTCTGTTGTTTTATGCACACAGGATTGTTGTAGCCTTGTTGAATAGTGCCTTTTATCATGTCACTTTTTGCCCTGGAAATATTCTTTGCCATGAGGTCTATCTTTAGTGTTTGACTTCTTTCAGTTTAGCATGTTTGGAAGTCATCTGTGTTACAGTATGTACAAGTATTTTTTATGGCTAAATATTGTTTTTTACAATTGTACATTTTAGCCATTCATCTATTGAGGGACATTTGGATTTTCATCTGGTTATGGTGAACAGTGCTACTGTGACATTCATGTACACATTTTTGTTTTGAAATTAAAATATTTTGGGGGCATATATACAGGATTAGAATTGCTACAAAGACAGGCCAAGTAGTTTCTTAGTTTATTAATTATATATCAAGGGTCAATCAGCTGATAAACTAACATACTGTTCTGTGAGGTGGCAGTCAGTTCTTTAGAATACTGGAAGATCACTAAAATAGCCAATGGGCCAGGCAGGCTATTGGTGCTTGGGAATTGCAATCTCCAATAAGAAAACAAGTTTGTTTTTGCCCCATTATAGTGTCAAGCTACCCTGATAGAAGTATAAAATATATTATTTTTGCTGGCTTTCCAGGGAGACCTTTAATATAAGAAAATAAGTATTATTTATCTGGCAAGGAAAGATAAATATAGAGGCAGGTCAGGTCAGAACAGGTCTTGTGCCCCTTGTTTTGAGGTTGGATCTGAGATTCTTGAGCCTGAGAAAACAAAGTTCCTCCTTAGAGCTATGACTTAGAAGTAAAAGTGAATGGAAGTACTGGTACAGTGGCTTAAAGATATGGTCCCAAGAACTAATTCCTTTGCCTTCCCATGTGGCGCTGAAAATCTGATTTACTGTTACTTTTGTTTTGCAAAATTGCTTGGACTGGTACTTAGTGTATTTGTGTGGAAGCAATGTAGAAGACACCACCACCACCACTGCAAAAACCCAAATGTCTACACTTTAGAACGCTAATAAAGAACTGATGCTATGTAGACAATTTTGAATTTGGCAATTCTAGTTTATTGAAAATAGTTTTCACTGACAAAGATCTGTGGAATAGTACTCTACACTTCTGAATATTTATTCTTATTCATATTCTTAAGAACAAGTTGTTTCTTTCAGCAATTTTTGAAAATATCCAAAGCACAAGTCTTTGAGTGGAGCTTACAGCAATAACTTTCCTTAACTATTTATAATAAAGAACTTCAAAAGACTATCTGCAGCATCAAGAGGAAAAATATCCAGACTTCACTTTGAAAACTCTATCTTCAACAAGTATTTCTGAGTACCCAACATGCAGAGGGACTGTTTCATATGCTTGTGTTGCATTATGAACAGATGCCCTCATCAAGGTTTTTTTTTTTAAATTAGCTTGAAGACCCTCAGTAGGCAGGTGGATAGAAAATTGGCTTCTCCAGTGTGTCTAGATGAGGCAGCCATCTGTTGAAATAAAAGTCCACAACCTGAAAAGGAGATCCTCCAGGCATGGATAAAGGAGAATTTATGACTATGACATAGACTGCAGTTTCAGTTGATAATTATTATAGATAAATCCTGTGGGCCTACCCCAACAAAAGGATAGAGATAAAACCAGAGTGATCATAAGACTTTGTCACCAGGCCTTTCCCTGAATGACTCAGATCACTTGGGTGAATCGGTCTCATCCTGATGGATAGATGATCATTAATGTAATAGCAAATCTAATCATAGTCCTAAAAGATTATATATAACAGGGGGTGTGAGATGATTCTAAATATCAAGAAACAGAAATATGTTAAAAATAGAAAACTTTATATTATCAACTATTATAGAAACAGCATAAACAGTAATCTCCCAATTTTGTTTCTGGGAATATAGCACTAAGTGGACATTTTTTTATTGCAGATGCATCTTGGTAATGCTGCTGGCAGCTTTAGAGAGATTCCATTTCCAAATTTCTAGAAGGTATTCTCTCCTAAACTGATTCAAATATTCTTCAGTGAAACACTCACCATCAGGCCAGATAAGAGTATTTCGGCTCAGATGAAGTATGTGCTAGCCCTGTTTACAAAAGTAAAGTACATTACTAGTAGAATGTATGGGTCATGAGCAGCCCTATGCAATACCTTTACAACTGATAATTTGCCATATGAAGATATTTAAAATCAGTAGGGAAGGGTGAATTACCAAGTGGCATATGGAGCATTATTCATTAATGCAAAAGAAAGAGACTTGTAGATTCTTGCATCAAATGACCTTAAAGGAAGCCTTGGATACATGGAGACCTTACTTTGTTTCGAGTGTGAGATGATGAATGCTTTGGCAGTATGACATGGATCCAATAGCCATGCTGTTAGGGTAGTGAAGACTTGATCAGCATCTTGATTCTGGTCTCATCAGAGAACGGTCTCTTATGATGAGCATCTGGTTTAACAACCCAGATGTCATGCTCATTTAGCAGCTGTGACTTTTCCCCTACAGCATGGAGCACCAGAGGAGTGCTTTTGTCTCTAGTTTTACAACTGGTATGTCAAATATCATGAGACAGCAAGAACCTGAGTCAATAAAAAGGCACCGTTTAATCAAAGGGAATACTGACCAGAGTTGAGAACAACCCTGTGGCTTGCCGACTGACAGGGGCAGCCATATCAGTTTTGGGGTCTGCATAATGACCCTGAGGTTAGTCAGTGTCTGAGTGGTTTCAACTCACCCAACAATCAGTGAACCAGGCCCAGAGTAACCTCTGTGAGCACCCTACTGAGCTAACAGCTTTGCTTCAGATAGTCAAGTGGGGGTAAATTTCTTTCCTAAGGGATAGCTGCTAGTTTCTACAGCTGAGTTAACTGCTAGAGCAGGACAGCTGTATTCTTGAATATACCATGTACATCTCACACATGAAACTTGTTGAGTCCTTTATATCTTGGTAGTTAAGTCCAAGATGATACACCTCAAAATTGGAGTATCAAGTCAGAGGCCTCTGAGTCAGGTGTTTAGTGTACAAGAGCTCACAAGTAAACTAACAGCTGCTTTATACAAGGAGTATACTTAGTAGTCATCAGGGTTTCAAGCCTTTCCCTCATCTGTATGGGCACCTAATTTTTCCAGATGTTCCAATCAACAAAATCACTAGACTCAAGCCCCAGTTGGTCATTGAGGATTGTGGGATCTCAAGGAATTCCCTGATAAGTTATGATGGGAAGAAAAAGTACACACATAACATTCCTACCATACACTCAGATTTAGAAGTAAACACAGTACACTGCACTGGCCCCACTTATTCATATGATCACATTCATTTCCCTTCCTTACTGTAAACCCTGCTCTAATGACTATCTAAATCGAAATACTCCTGCCTCTGTGGGAAGATGTTCACTTGAGTATCTGTAACCAAAGAGCCATAAAAGTCTTAAGTCCCTCCCCTTCCTCAAAATTTCCCAGAATACTTAGGTGGGTGCCAATGGCCTTGGGCTCCCTTTGGAGTCCAAAAAACCCCTTTCCCCTTAAAGCAGCTGGGGTATATGAAGGTAGCAGATGTGAAGGGAAAGTGGCTTGTCATGAAGCAAACCACATTTATTTAGTTGCATTAACAGCTCTTCACCACCCAACCAAAAAACAAACCTTACAACTTCTTAGATTCACCTGTATAAGGTGATGCCGTATATTTCACTACATTGAAAGGATGCCTTTTTTACATACTTCCTGGTGATTTTTGAGGAACTCCTTGACACACCAACCCTGTAATAAGATTTGCATTCTCTGGGTGAAATTAGCTTCGCTTATATTTTCTGCTTCCTAGCAGATATTATGTGTAAAAACAGACCCAAACATGTTTGGGTCTGAACAGAATATATGCTTGCTTATTGCTCACAAAATGTTCAAATGATAAAGATATGGAAGAGAATTCTGTTCCACAAACTTCAGGCTTTTATCTTGTGCTATGCTATGTTATAGCATGGTGCCCAAGATTGTCCTGGAAGCCATTTCCATTTTATTCTGAGGAGCCTGATAGCCTGCCAGGGATGTTTTATTTATCAGAACTGCTTGTGGCATACATCATGGGCATCCAGAGTGCACTTGCTAGTCAAAAAGCCCCACTCAGATGAAAGGGAGACTGGGAAATTAGGTTAGTTATATACTTAAGAGAAAAAAATTAAATTCTTACTAGTGAGATTACCCATCCATGTGATGTGTGATAGTTACTGAAAAGGGCATGACTTCATTCAAAAAGGGCTTTCCATAGTACTTTAAAAAAATTAGAAGCTATTGTGAATTCTCTGATACACCCTCAGGATTGCCTTTTGGACAAAATTCTTTCTGTATTCATATTTATATGGGTTCTTTTCTGTGTGAATTTTCTGATGTCATATGGGCTGATCCTTTAGCCAGAAAGATTTTCCAGTTATATCAGTAAGGTTTTCCCCTTCCCTGAATTCCCTGGCATACATTTAGAGTTGACTTATACAATTTTCTGTATTCACTGCAGTTGTAAAATTTCTCCCGTGAGTTCTCTGATGGATTCTGAGATTTGATTTCTGTCCAAAAGTTTTTCCACATTTATTACATTGAAAGGGTTTCTCCCCTGTATGAATTCTCTGATGATCACTAAGGATTGCCTTCCGGACAAATTTTTTCCCACATTCATTACATTTAAATGGTTTCTCCCCAGTGTGAATTCTCTGATGCACTCTGAGGGTTGATGTCCGGGCGAAAGTTTTCCCACATTCATTACATTTAAATGGTTTCTCACCTGTGTGTGTTTTCTGATGTTGAATGAGATGGTCTTTTCGCCAGAAGGATTTTTCACATTCATTACATTGGTAAGTTTTCTCACCACTGTGAGTTCTCTGATGTATTCTGAGGTTTGACTTTTGGCCAAAAGTTTTCCCACACTCATGACACTGAAAAGATTTTTCCCCTGTGTGAATTCTATGATGATCTCTGAGGGTTGACTTTTGAACAAAAGTTTTCCTACATTCGTTACATTCATAGGGTTTCTCTCCTGTATGAATTCTCTGATGTCCCCTGAGGGTTGATTTCTGGACAAATGTTTTCCCACATTCATTACATTTATAGGGTTTCTCTGCTGTGTGAATTCTCTGATGTGTACTGAGGTGTGACTTCTGGGAGAAAGTTTTTCCACATTCATTACATTCAAATGGCTTCTCTCCAGTGTGAGTTCTCAGATGTTGAATGAGATGCCCTTTTTGACAGAAGGATTTTCCACATTCATTACATTTATAGCGTTTTACCTCAGAGTGAGTTCTCTGGCATACTTTTTGTTCTGAAGTCTGGTACGGTTTGTTGTTTTCATCATATTCAGAGGATTTATCCTGAGTTTGTGTTCTGTTGTTACATATGACTGGGTTCTCTAATGTGAGAATTCTCTGAGGTTGAGAGAGGTGCAACTTCCTGCTGAAGTTTCTCTCACTTGTACTGCATTCATCATGTTTCACAGCCATGTTAAATTTACTGTATTCTTTGACAGGTGACTTCTCACTGAAGGATCTCCCACATTGGTTATGAGAGAGCTTCTCCCCTCTACCAGTCCTTTTGTGGTTAAAGAGAGTTGTCTTATCAGAGTTTTCCTTAAATTTATCATCATATGATTTTCCTCCTGTGTGAGTGTTCTTACCTGTAATATAGGCAGCCTCACTGTAGAAGTCTTTTCTAATTTCATTACAAGCTTGCTCCAGCGTTTGACACTTCTGATGGTCAGGAAGCTTTTTCTTGTAACTGATGGCTTTCCCCTTTCTATTATGTTCATAAAATTTCTCTCCAGTATGAGTTCTTGCAAACTTAATTTTGAAAGACAAATTTTCACATACATAACAATGTGTTTTTCTTGTTGAATAGGTCCTATTATTGCCAAATTGAGCAATATTTTGCAGATGCACTCCCCGTAAGTTGTATCTCCAGGACATCTCTGTTGCAGATAAAGGAGATGTGTGCAGAGTGAATGGCTTCCCCAGTGCTTCCTCCCCCAGCAGTGGCTTACTGCTGACTACTTGCTGTAAGTGTTCCTCGCTTGGGAGCAGCTTGCTGCTGACTACTTGCTGCAAATCTTCCTCCCTTGACAGAGGTTTGCTAATGACTAGCTTCCACAAGTGTTCCTCCCCCGGCAGAGGCTTGATGATGACTAGTTTCCACAAGTGTTCCTCTCCCGGCAGCAGCTTGCTGATGACTATGTGCTGCAAGTGTTTGTCTTTGACTTGTGTGTCCCTCTTCATTAGGTCAGTATCTCTACAGTCCTCCAAACAGGGACACTGGAAATGTATTATTTTTACATTTCCTATGGGTGGAAACAGAGCCTATGTTACATTTCATTTCTTGGTTTTTCAAGAATAAATTACTCATTATGCATATATGTGAATATACACTGTCACCCGCCTTTAAAAGACAGTATTGATACAGTAAAAATGAGAGGAAACTTAAAATACATTTGAACTATGATAAACCAAATTTTATGACTTGGGTGGATAGAAATTAGATTTTTATAGGAGTGGTTATTTTAGTAAGAAAACAAGATTATGTGATTAATAAAAATACTATAAATGTGAGTTAAAACAGAATTAAAAAGGCAATAATGAACACTGACAGACTAGGCCCAACAAGGGAAGGGTTTGTGTCGAGGAATTAAATTACAGTATAGGTCCTATGTTACCTAGGCTACACTGGTAGACTATCAAGAGTCTACATACTTCAACTTGGGATCATCCCTTATGTCCATTTAAATACTTAAAAATCAAATTAAAATTAGAGCACCAACTTTTTCATGATTAAGTGAAGTCTATAGCTCAGGATCTAACCCACCTTACAGCTGTAAGTCACAGAAATACAAACAAATATAGAACTGATGGAAGGAAAATCCATTCTTGCAACTAAATTAGATTGCTCAATTTTAGCTGTGGTAACTTTAATTATATCAAAACTGAGTGAACCTGATCAGCTCATCCTAAATTTTTACATTTCAATTTGATACGAGTGCAATTTTAAATGGGTATCATGCAAAGATGACATTTAAGAAAGATTCAAATTCTTTATGCATTCTAGATGCCCATCTTTTGTTGAGTTATATGAGTTACAAATATCTATCACCTCAACTTATAACTGTTAAGCATGAAACAATTTAGATCTCCATAAAACATACATGCAACTTAACTGTATAGAGTGAACACTAACAGAATCAGAAACCATGTCAAGAAAGGGAACACCAATGGTTCTGCAAAAAATCCCTATTTATCCCTGCCTAGTTACAACTTCTTCATGCTTAAGAGTTCACCACTACCCTGATATTTATGTAATAATTTCCTTGATTTTCTTTGTAATTTTACCACCAGTATATGACATCCTCCTGATTTCACAGTGGTTTTGCCAATTTAGATTTTCACTCAGTGAATAAGGGTCTTTAATGTTTTACATTCTCATCAGGGCTTGGCTTTGCTGGATTTGTTAATCCTACTTCATATCATACATACATATCTCTTATCTCACCATATATTTTATTTTGTACTCTGAAAAATAACAAGGTTGGACATATTTTCAGATTTTAATGGCCATCTGAAAATTCCTGTACAAGGACTTTGGCCTATTTTTCAATGCCACCTTTCCTACACTGACTTGTGAAGGTTCTGACATTTTTCAGGATGCTTATCCTTTCTAGGTTACTTGCACTGTAGAGCTATCCTGCTTCTCTGTGGCTTATTTTTTCATCCTTTTGATTGTATCTTTTATAAACAAAGTTTACAATTATAATGTCAAATTTATTAATCATTTTGATTGGTAATTTCTGTGCCTTTGGACCTAAGAAGAGTCTTAAAGTACAAAGGTGTTAAAAAAAAAAAAAGAATAGAGGGTAGTTAGGGTGAGACTGGGAGATCTGATAGATCCTAGATCTCACACATTAATTAGGCTTAGCCAAGGCCTAATTAAAGCGACTATTTGTGGAAGGATTAAAAGATCAATCCTAGCTGCCTGTTACATATATTCAAAGGAATATATGTTGCATACATTCGAAAGAATACTACAGAACCACTAAAATGATAAGACAGATCAATTACTCAGGCATGTTACCCCAAAACATTTAGCTGAGAAAAATAAAAGGCAAGGTGCAAAACTTGTAAGTAGGCTGTGATGCCATTTCTGCAGGAAAATAACTTGTGTATATTAATAAATGCATGTAAAAAAAATCTGGAGGAATATACACTGAACTACTGGGACTGATGATTTATGGAAGGTGGAATTAGGGAAGATTTTCACTTGTATATTGCAAATTTCTGTAATGCTTAAGTATTTTTGCAAAGGAGTGTTTCTAGGCAAAAAAAAAAAAATTAAAATCTTGTTAAAAAAAAAAAAATACAAAGGTGTTCACTGCTAAACTGATCTTCTGCAATCTAACTCTTCCCATAGAATTCTGCCTGCTACTGCTCATTAACTCACCTTGGTGGCTTTGGTTTGAGAATTCTTCCTCTAGGAACCAAGGTTCTTCTCCTTGCTCCAACTTGAAGATTACTGCTGGCTTGAAAATGCAGTTGCCTGTAAACAGGGAAAATAGAGAACTTAGGCTAAATAATGAGCTTTTTAGTCTCTGAATGTGGAAAGAGATACATCTCAGGAAGAGCATCCTCAAGGTCCTCATTTGAATTCATCATTGGGAGTTGACAACATACTCTTTCTATTTCTCAAAAGGACTTAACCACTTAATATTTCTGAATGAAAAGCCTTAATAACATTAAAATCTAAAGTATTCAGGCACATTGGGGTGTAAAAAGGAAATGCCTTTTATATGGCATTACAAAGGTAAGTTAGGCTTATCTGCTCACCCACTGAGACTAAGTTGTTGTAGTTCTCCAGCATGACATCTCTGTATAGGGTCCTCTGAACAGGACCCATTTGCTGCCACTCCTCCTGGGTGAGCTCCACAGTCACATCCTTGAATGACACTGATGCCTGCAACAGTACATTTCTGTTCAATCTGAAGGGTTCAGAATTAGGTGACAGAAAATACCTATGAACACAATTTTTATGTTTACTGTAAAGAGCTTAAATGAAAATAAAGGATGTCTACTTTGGATCTAGTTTTATCTTATTATACATTGGAGGTGTTGTATCAGTAAAATGTTGACAACAATCTGCATATATTTACAAGTTGTATACATGTACTATCAATAAATGTATTAGTGTAACTTTTGTTTTTTAAAGCTTTTTAGCAAAAAATAATAAATTTCCTACATTTATACCCCACACCCCTAGGCATACTCTAGGGCTGGGGTCAGCAAATGACCAAATCCTGCTTCTCACTTTTTTAATAAGTTAAGATCTATTGATCACAGCCATACACCTCAATCATCCTGTATTTCTCTTGTCACTTTTACTCTGAAATAGTAGAGCATAGTAGCTCTACTATAGACTTTATGACCATCAAAACTAAAAATATTGATTACCTGACCCATTAAAGAAAATATCTGCCAACCTCTGAACTAACCAAATTAAAGGAAAAACTGACAACAGAAAAATAACAAAGAAAACAATATATATAATGGGATATATGTAGATTAAAAGTAAAAGGATGGCAAAAGATATATACATAGTTTTACCAAAGGAATGTTGATGTTATATTAACATGAAAACATTCAAAGATATGATAAAATATAATAAATTTATGGTCATAGAAAATATTAATACAGTCACTATTCATTATTCACTGATTTTGTATTTGCAAATTCACCTACTCACTAAAATGTATTTGCAATGGTCAAAATAAATAGTTATAATTTTGAAATGGTTTGTGGACACTCACAGAATGTAAAAAAGTTGAGTATCCACCCAGCTAAGGTTGAACATATTTTCCTTCTTGTCTCAGCCATCATACTGTAAAACAATTGTTTTTTCCATGGTCTATTTAGCAGTTTTCTGTATGTGCTTTTTCTTGGTGATTTCACTTTTAAAAATAGCCCCCCTCATGGTGCAGAGGTGCTGTTTAGTGTTCATCTGTGCAAGAAGGTTGTGACGTGCCTTATGGACAAATGAAAGGTGTTAGATGAGCTGTGTTCAGGCATTAATTATGTTGCCACTGGCCATTAGTTCATTTTCATGAGTCAACAATCTTAAATAACATGTTTTTAGACAGAAATATGAATAAAGCAAGCTTATATATTGACTGGTTGACCAAAATGTTGTGACCAGAATCTCTCAGGAACCTAACACTGTATTTCCTTTAGAGGCAATGATTCAGTATTTGCTAATTCAGTGTTTGTGGAGACTTTATAAAACATAACCACTGAGAATAATGACAGTTAACTGTTACGTAAACAGAAGTAGACAGAAATGAGATAGACCAACAGTTACAGTTAGTAATTTTAACAGAATCCTCTCAGTAGCTTACAGGACAAACAGATTGAAGAAAACCAATATGAATTTAGAAAAGGGGTCAGCAAACTACAGCCTAAAGGCCATATCTGGCCTACTACCTGTTTTTGTAAATAAAATTTTACTGGAGCACAGTCACATTTACTTGTTTATGTATTATCTATGGCTGCTATGGCATCACAGCTGTAGAGTTCAGTAGTTCTAACAGAGAATGTATCTCTCAGAAAGTCTATTACCTTACATTTACAAATAAAATTTGCTGACCAGTGATGTAGAAAATTTAAACGACATAACCAACTTTAGTAGCATATAGGAAAACATGATCATATTTTGCATGTTAAATGTATTTTGCATATTAAAAAGCAAAAAGTAAGTCATAATTTAGAAACAATTGCAATCATACAGTGTAGCTTTGGATT